CTTGAAGAATATTTGATACTGCAACACGTTTGTTTGTCATCATCGGACAGCAGTATAAATCAATAATTTTTGAAGTTTATTATCCTTTTGCAGTCAGATTAACAATAAAAGTTTATTTTTATTTTTATTTATTTATTTTTATTTTTTTGAATTGATTTGAGATGCTTTTCAGAGCAATGTCTATCGGGAGTGCCGTATAATACAGATGGTGTAAATACTGTTTGCACTCCAACAGCGATCAACACTTGTCCCGATAAGTATTCTTGTCAAAAAGCGCTTTATGGTTCCAATTATATTTGTTGCCCCGTTCCAGGTTCCAATTTATTAGCATTAATTCACCAATTGTTAACTGTTAATTTATGTTTGGGATTGGTCAAACATATAATGCAAAATTTTAATGTAAATAATTTAATAGCTTAGCAAACTCTTTATTTTTTTTCTACGACTGGTTTCAAGTTTAGAATCTAGTTGCAATCAAATGGTATCTGCTGGTACTGCATGTTTTGGTCAGTGGATTACAACAGACAAATATTACTTTAATGCTGCGAATCGTAAATGCGAAAAGTTTGATTATTTTGGTTGCTCTGGAAACAGTAACAACTTCCGAAGCAAACATATTTGCGAACAGAACTGTATACCTCAAGCCAACAATGGTTATATTCTTTTTTTCTCTTTTTTTGAGAGCAGAGGTAAAATGTCGTTTGTTTAGCAGAAGACAAACTGCTAAATCGCTAAATTCAGTTTTTTAGTTTGCAACGGTGTTGCTGCTTTAGCAGATCCAAATAATCATCTTCAACGGTGTTCCAAGGCTGTTCCTTGTCCTATTGGTTATGTTTGCAGTAAGAAACAGTTCTGCTGCCCAATACCTCGTCAGTAACAAAAAATGCTTTGTTTATGAAATCATTGATTTTCTCAAAAAAAAAAGTTTTTGATATCTTATTCAATAAACTAGAGCACAAGTTCCTATTGACAAAAAAGTTTCCTTTTTCTCAAATTCTTTTATATCAATACATCTTTCAAAATAAGTCACATATTACGATTTGTAGCATTTGCTTGTTCCTCACCAATGAGCTCAGGAAATCTGTGCGGAAAAGCACCTCAGCGAAGCGCTTGGTATTATGATCCTGAAACGCGAAATTGTGCTCAATTCACATATCACGGTTAAGTCGTTTATAGAAACGACTAAAATAACAGTTCGAATTAAGTCTGCTTTTACGTGCTGATTAAAAACCTAATTAAAGCAGTAGCAGATAAAAACGTATGGTAAACTCCGGCGGGATTTTGAGTAAAAATGAGTAAATTCTTGTCTTTTTTTCTCTGAGAGTTTTGTAATTAGAAGTGACTGACTAAAAATTTGTTAATTAAGGGTGCGGAGGTACAGCGAACCGATTCTTTGACAGAAAATCTTGTGTAGCAACCTGTGTTGGTTCAGAAAGTTTTGGTGAATGCCCAAAGGGTATGTCACCGTACATTGAAGCTGGTAGTCTCATACCAAAGGTATTTTTGCAAGACATATTGAAGAAAAAGTTTATTTGCTTCTGTTTTTTTCAGCTTTTTCTTTTCGCCAAAATTTTTAGTTCGTTAACGATTGTGATTTGTCCGCAGGGTTGCAAACTTTAAGAGTTGCTTTTTCACGCCATAAAAGTGTTCATCTAAGATTATGTTTTATCCTTCTAAACACTTTTTAAGAATGTTTTTTAGCATACTAATTACCAAACGTACATTTGGTTTTAGCTTTAAGTTATAAAATTGAAAGAAGGAGAGATAAAATGTACGGTACACCGAGAAACTGTAGCAATGAAAAGCTCATTTCAAATGGAAAACTTAAATCGCAATCTCAAGTTTCAACCAACTTATCTTATAAGATTTTAGTGTAATAAGTCTTAGCAGCCTTTTTTCTGCTCATCACCAGCTAAAAATTTTGATTATGGCTGTTGAAGAGTTCATCTTGGTTTCTCAAGAATCTTTTTATGTTTTGATTTAGAAGTGCACACTTAATGTTGCCGGTGTATGTCCGTCACCGTCGTCTTGCGTTCGTTCAACACTAAACACAGCAATATGCTGTCAGAGCGCAGCTAAGTGTCCAGATCGACGGAAACCTTACGTGATTCCAGGTCAGCAACAAATGCTAATTATAAACCTCTGAACTGTGTAATTTTTTGTAAATTAATAACACCTACCACAAATCTACACAATTTCTGATGGTAATACTATACAGTTTGAATACTGTAGCTTGGAAAGTTTTTCGAATTTTCGTAGTCTGAAATTTTACCTTTCTAATTTTATTGCCTCTAAATTTAAATCTGCGCCGTTGTTTAAAAACTACATTCAGGAAGTATCGTTTTGAGCAGTTTTTTTACAACAATGTAGGAATTCAATTTGCGAAGAGGACTTTTTATGGGAGTAACAAATATAAATTTTAGGTTCAGATTCGGTAGTCAGTTGTCAGGCTGAGCTTGATAACTGCCCAGCTGGATATGGATGTACAGAAAGGTTTAAGATTTGTATTTTACTCAAGTGCTTTTAGAAATGCAATTTATTGATATGCTTTGAAATTAAATATCATTAGGATGGCTGTTACAACAACTTTTGTTCAGCCTACTTAATTTTACAGCAAATTCATTTTGTTATTAAACTCATAAATTTTTGTTATTGTGTTTTCCCTGTTTGACAACGCGCAGATGATGCATGCCTTAAGCTAAGAGGGTTATGATAATTTGCTTTCCACTTTTTCTCGTTCTCAAATTCTTCTTTCATTCCTTGAAAACCTCAATAAAATACTAGATGAAACTAACAGCTAAGGTAGCAGATAGAAGTGAAAAGTGTGTACTTCTTTGCTTAATGATTAAAATGCATCACGTGTTCATCCTCAAACTAGTGAAAACACCAAACTATGACGACAGATATCTGTTTATTATTAAAAAACCTTAATTTCAGCTCAGTCTCAGGTTTTTACATGTGTTGTTCCTCAGAAGATGAAAATTTGTCAGAAGAACTGCCATCAGTACTAAAGCATCAGTGCCCAAATAAGGCTCCATCAAACGGCAGAACCTGTACTGTAAACGCTGTAGGAGACTGCCCAGATGGTTACACCTGTATTCCCATGGAGCCGGATACTACTGGAGTTTGTTGCCGTACATTACCAAAGTGTAAACGCGGGAAAGAGCACTTTATTGGATCTGGCCAAGTAAGTTTTCTTTATTCAACGATAAAAACCAACTATTTTTTGCTTTTCAAGATGGAAATCTCTAAGGTTTAAAACTTTCTTAAACAGTAGTTATTGATAATGGGCATTAACGCAAACAGTAATTCTTCCTCAGTTGCCAAAAGCCGCGATAATTTCAAATAAAGTGTGCACGGCAGAAAAGAATAAATTTTTAGCCTCAAGTATGTGGCCCGGATCTATTGACCTGCCCACGAGGTTTCGTATGTGCTCTATCATCCTTACCAGCAATAAATGTGTGTTGCCGGATGCCAAGTTCTGCAGCTCCAAGATTTCACTCTTTGTCCCTTCCATCGCTGGGCACATCTCCCGTATGTTCCAATGGGAAAGCACCATTTTATGAAATCGGTACTATCAAATTGAGTATTAATTTGAAACATCATTTTTCTCATAGGTGAATAAGAGGACTGCGAACTAAATGGCCATGTGGCCGTCCGAGTCAAATACTTTAGCAAAATTTAACATGTACTAAGTAAATTTTTCTTTGCAAAACTGTTGCAGGAAGTCCCTTTCCAAAACAGTGCATAACATTTCTTCAAAATCAGTGTCCCAACAAGTATGCTTGCAAACCAGCAAAAACTGGAGGACTGTTCTACTGTTGCCCTGTTTCACCAACAGAGTGCTACAATGGACAAAACGCTCTGCTCCGGCAAGGAACTGTAATACCACAGACTTGCAGTTTTGAGGCAAATAACTGTCCTAAAGGATACAGGTATTACGAATTCTTTTAACACATATTTTCAGCAGTATTTATTCTATATACGCTAAATTTTAACAAAAATAAACTACAAAGCACGGTACCTTGTTAGTCCATTATCTTTTCAGCTGTGTTATTCTTTTCAGCTGTCAACATTCAGCGGACGGTAACAACTTCTTCTGTTGCGTGGATAGAGCCAGCACAGCGCGTTGCCCTCTAGGGTCCTCTGAATACCTCTACGGATCTAGACCTTTGGCTTGTCCACAAGGTTCAGATAAATGTCCGAAAGGCTACTCATGTGTGGAGTCAGACAGCAGCGGAATTTATTTATGTTGTTCAGGTTCAGCACCACAGAGGCCAATGTGTCGAAGTGGCCATGCTTATATGGACCCTAGTAAGCTTAAAGATGCAAGTCATAACAGCTCATACTTTACAAAAAGTTCTTGTCTTATTATATTTCAGCGAAAAACCTCCCTCAGGAATGCTACACACATAATAATTACTGCCCACCCGGTTATTACTGTCAGCAGAGCACAGTCGCTAACCGCAATGTCTGCTGTTCTCCAGAAGGAATTACTGGACAGTATGACGGTGAGATTTGTTAACATACGCAATCTCTGGTTGTTTTTTTAAGTTCTAATACCAACTATAGCGTCTTTCAATCAATCAAGTTTTTTGAATCACACTAAAACAAAAGCTTTTTAGAAGCGCGTCGTTAAAAGCCACTGCAAAGTATATCTTTCTGGTTCTCAATATTCATAAAACGAACCTAAAAAAACTTGTTTTTTATAATAAAGTATGAATGAAAATTTCTTTCAAAGATGAAGCTTATTTAAGGTTATTGCCCACTTGGACAAATTCCTTTCATAACGCAAGCAAATGCTGCACCGCGAACATGCCATATGACTTTGTATCCATGCCCTACCATCGCTCCCTATACTTGCATCTACAGTTCCGAAAAACAAAATTCATATTGCTGTGCCCCGATCGACACCGCATTTACCCACTCTCGGTCTTTACCGACAGGTATCAGTTCATTTGCACTTCTTCTCCTTCTCCAGTTCCTTTTATTTAAAAATCTATTTAGATGCAAATACATTTGGATGCCAAGCTGGAAGCCAGCCATTAATCGGTGAGGGTGGCATACCACAAAAGTGTAATCCAGGCATCTGTCCGCCGTCATACACATGCCAGCCAACATCGCATTTTGGTACCTGGCAATGTTGCTCAGGTGAAACCATTTACCGGAAATCCCCAAAAGCTTCAGAATCATCGGACTGTGACCACGGTTCGGTACCAATAAATGGCCGTTGCATGAGACGTAAGTACTATTTTTGCAGTCATATTTAGTTTGTAAGCCGAAGGCTCAGGTTTGCTAAAGTACGATCGCTTTGAAACAGAGATTTGACTACATCCAATTTAAATCTATAATTTAAAATATTAACTTGTTGCTATAACGACCTTTCAGTTTTTTACATTGGACAGAAGGGATGTCAGGTAAATGAGCAATGCTCGTTAAAGCTTCCGGAAGCAAGATGTGAGCACCGTTATTGCAAATGCCCGCGACACAAGCTAATTCACGGGTCAAAATGCGTTACTCATTGCCCTGACGGCTTTATAAACATTGCTGCCCGGTGTCATGACCTGACAACCGTTGTCTTCATGGACTCAGTTGATTCACGCCAAAATGGAACCATCGGCGGCTTTTGTAAGGCAACAGTCGTTGAAGAAGAACAGTGCGACGTTGAAAACGCCTTCTGTAACGAAAAGTCGATTACTTGTCAATGTAAACCTGGATACGAGTTGAAAATGAATTTTGAAGACCAGAATGACACGGTAAACTTTACTTTCTTCATGGCCTATTGGCCCAAAATTGTGACTACAGTGTTAAAAGTGAGCGGCAACAGCATTGCCGGACGTTCAGCTTTCAAGTCTCGGCAATTTTACATGTCATTGGCAGCATAAAGCAACATGCATACAATTCTTCAAAGGCCTGCCAAATGCCTACACAACTACCAAGTCGGTGACGCAACTGCAATGGACAGCATTGTCCTTTATGAAAGCCTCAGAAGCAATGCTAGTCCTTCTTTACATTAAAACCTTAGGGAATAAGCGTTGTTGAGTTTACTGAAAGAGGCTCATAACAGTGTTCATAGAACTCACTGTAATTTTCTTCTCATAGAAGCAAGCTAGCCACCAGTACCGTATCTCCACGATAATTCTTCCAATCTAGGCTGCAGAACTCGCTGCTAAGAGCTTCGGTGTAGATAATACACAAACTGCATGAGCAGCTTTGTGCAATAAAACTTTTTTAAAATTTCTGAGCGCTTAGTTTTTGCCTGTTTTATTGCCTCATTGAAAAAACCTAGCGCGATACTGGTAGGGCTTTTGTGAATACAATGTATTAAAAAAGCTTCTCAGACTCTGTAGTGAGAAGTGAACGGCTACATCGTACGTTTGCGAGAAAATGAAAAATAGGAAAAGAGAATGTAGTTAACCGCAACGTTTAACCAAGTTGTTGACTATTTTTGAATGAACTTTTGCAAGACCTAGAACTAAATTTCCAACAAGCACTAGTACCAAATAATAAAACAGTGCTTTTTAAAAGAAGCTTTATTTGACGGTAGTCACGACAAAACCTAAATCCTATTATACAGATAACAAGTTTTTGGTATTGTATACAGGTTTCCAAATACATCAGTCTACGTACAATCTTGTGCATTTTCTTGCCGCTTTCGATGGTCAGTGTTGGATGACTTTTTCTTTCATATGCGCCATTCAGTACTACGTCGTGAGCTTGATAGTTAAACCTTCACTGTATTGCAGTGTTATAGCCAACTGCAGAATCAAAGAAATTTACATGAAATACTTACACTCCGGTAAACAGTGCTTAAGTACTATGTAGAGAAGTCCTAAGCACTATAACTTTGCCAAACGCACTTCTTTCTACTTTCCGTTGTAATTTTCAGTGACTCCAATTAGTTCTCCACAGTTTCTGGTTCTCACTTTTCGCCTATTAAAACAAAAAACCTCAAACCCACTGCTTACCTCTAAAAGAATTCTTCACTGACAAGCTCTCCAGTAAATTTCTAAAAAATATTTTTTAAATCCTTCCTTACCCTGCCTTTCAAAGTGAAGTCAAATCAAAATTTCTGACTCCCTGTGAATTCAGAAGGCGCAGAAGGCAGCAATTCAAAAAAATTTTTTTCTTAACTTTAAGGATTAATCTTGCATTGTCTGCTGCTGCCATTTCAAGCGCCATTACCAGTTACGGACTCTGATATTACCTGTAACGTTCTCAAGTTCTATAAGTGAACTGTAAATTGCAAAGACCTCAAGTAAAACAAATTATGAGTCACTTTTTTAAAGCATGAATCAGGATTATTTAAATTAAGGCTTTAAAAAACAACTGCCCTTTTTTAAGCAGCCCTGAAAATTACTTCGCAGAGCTTGACCGCAATAAGCCCAACCAACTACACTTTATAAATAGAATGCGATGTAGAACTAAAAACTGGTACTACCTTAAACGAAGATGTGCCAGGTACTCTAGTCACATTTATGCCATGTGACATGGAATATACACAAAGAAGGATAATGCACATCAGATGCAAAAGATAAACAAATAAGGATTAAGAAATAGAAAAACAGCAGGACTAAAACTGGACACCCTGCAGTAGGTGCTGCAGACATAGAACACACCTACAATAATAAAAGTACTTTCGTCTTGGTTCCCGAGTTTCCCAACACTATTATTGAGGAACTTTAACCTCCAGCTCCTCCCGTTTTTTAGAAAAATCCTTTCCTAGCACGCGGTTGGACACAAAATGGAAGTGAAGATGGAAATCACTAATGAATTCTCACAGAAGTATTCAGATTTTCCCAAAGTATCTTCTGACTTCAAAATCAGCACTGCTTAGCTCCATCATCTTTACTAGACTGAGTAGAAACATCTGACAGTTGTCAACCTGCTCACCGACGGAAGTAACCAGTATCCCACTTAATAGCACGCGAGAGGAATCCCGTGTTGCCGAAGCCTAACTTCAGTAACCTAATTCTGCTGTCTCCTTCCAGTGACTCCAGTCTCAACTAGTTCTACATCTTACTAATTTTATCTTTATTTAGGGCTCCTGTATTCCGCTAGAAGACAGCAAATTCGCGAATCAAACAGTAAACGCCGTGGAAGAAGTAAATACAGTTCCCGCACAAGCTCTTCTCTTGACCAAAGACAATGAGACAGAAAAAAATAACACCGTTCCAGTTAAACATGAAGACTGGGTGGAAGTGGACATTCAGAAATATCTGTTTCAAACAGATGACAATCCAGGACACTAAGAACAAAGTCCAGGTGCCTAGACGGATCAAAGAATAATCGTAGCGGTAGGAAGTAGAGTACAGTCTTACAAGTATGCTTAATGACCAAGACTAAATTAAGTAGCATAGTTTATAATTTTAGACGCTGAAATCCTCTGACAGTCAAAGCATATCAGCCCGCAAAGGCCAGCATATACTACTGTGACTGCCGAGGGTGGGGAGGGGAAAGAGAGAAACAGGGATCTTTTTATCTTGTAGCCGACCATAGCACTCAGTCTCTAACAATAGCTGATTTCTTCTAATGTTAATGTTTTAACTGTCATAGTATTTGAACGAACATGTTGCAGATGATCTCTAGGAACTGCCTGTGTTACCTAGTCAGCACCCAGCCTACCATACTTATTGAGTGCTTCACTTCAATAGATCAGTATTTTCATTCGAAAATAAAAGTACCTTTTGAATTACCCTTTATTGGGTTGTAAATTTTTGCACTTTCAACTGCAGTCGACAGCCCAGCAAAATAATCCAGAAAATAAACTGTCCCACTCAAATTTTACGCATCAAAACTGCTTCTCCCTAAATTCCCAACTTATCAAAGTTTCAATTCCAAGGGTGATTGGTTGCCATCATATAATCAAGAAGTCATTCAATTGAAAATAAGTAACCATTTGGTATCCATTAATGCTACAATATAAAGTTAATACACAAACCAATGAAAAAAGAAATAGACGAACAATTTAGGTAAAGACTGTTTCAACTATATTTTGAAAGACTAATGAAAAAAAAAACCTATTCCAATTTAATTGGCAAATGAAGTGACAGCTTCTCAAACTGACAAGACATTAACATGAGCAACAACACGGGAGGTCAACCCTGAGACACAATGCATTTAAAATAGGTTTAACCGTAGGATGAAGGAGGAACATAAAGCAAACAAAAAACTTACTTACAATGGGAAATTAAATCTACTCAAAATATTCCTCATGATCCCATCGGGATCTACTGAAACCGAAAAGCGGTCAAAGTGGTGCAACGCACGACGATTATGCTTACATTCTTCACGTGATTTGTTGTCCATCATTTTCAGAAGAGGAAGTATCTCTGTAGCGACTTCTGCAACGAAAACCATTACACAAGAAAGAGTTTTAGAGGAAATTCAACATAGTCCAGCTACATAGTCACATTCATTCAATTCTTAGATTCAAAACGAGAAGGAGCATACATTATTTCCCGAAAGTACTTCCCTACAACACCACTGAGGCCGTTTCAGGCGTAAACTGTCAAATAAGAAGTGAAAGAACGGCCGCAGTGTTGTGTCAGTAGAAAGTTGAAGAAATATTATAAAATCGCTGTAAATAGTTATAAAAGAAACGCTAAAAATGCGAGGAAATAAAATGAAGTTTTTTGAAAAAATTACAGTAAATTCTCAAGTTTTGGTAATGCGCAACGTTAAGAGTCACCCTTTATAATTTTATATTTTTAGCCCAACTACCGTACAACCAACAAACATCAAATTTAGTGGTGCCAAAACAAAAACAAAAATATGCAACTAGTTTCACAGTAAAAAACTTCGAGAAAAGATTGAACTAAGATTGATGGTTTTTCACATAACTATTTTTCGAGTCTCCCAAATTATTAAACTGAGTAACAAAACAAACTAACCTGATAGGGAATAAAAAAAAGAATTTGAGCAATTAAGCCGAATTGTTTGAATACTCTTGAAAACTTCTTCATTTTTGTCGTATAACTCTTCAGGCAGACAGTCTCCCAACAGTAAATCACTGAAGTGTCTGAAGAAGAATATACTCCCTCATCCCAAAATAAAATGGGGGAAACTGAAGGAGAGCCAGTGGTGAAAAGTTTGACACGTTCAGAAAAAAATTAAAAACTTAGAAAAAAAAAGAAACTAACGGTGCATCGCCTATCGCGTACAAACTGCTAAGAAACCGAGAGTCCGACTTGCTCTTCAGCGAAATATCTCTATTTGCATGACAAAACTGTTTCTGAAATTAGACTGATAGAATTGTCACACTCTGTGAGACTCTGAGTTTAATATAATATCCATAACACAAACAAGTGTACAAAACAGTATTGAAAATTGGAATATGAATAAAAATTATTACCATGAAAGGAATGCTATGAATGTTACCGTCATAAAAGTGTATAAGATTGAGGGAAGCACGTAAGTTACACTTCAAAAGATTTGTCACTTTTTCCAAAGCTGATGGACATATGTCACGAGAAGTGAACCCTCTAAAGGAAGCCTAAAGAACAAAATTTGGTAAAAACAAAGAAGTGTAAGCAGAATCCAAATTTCGGCCAAAAACAGCCGCCTATGTCTATTTTTAAAAATCATAAAAGCTAAAGGCTTACACTAATATACTCCACAATTAATTCTGAGGGGATCTTGCTCATTTCTGCTATCAAATAATCTGCACATGGCTCCTTAGCAAACTTGAACTTGACGCAACTGCTATCTTAAAATAATTTCTATGACAATATACGTTCAAGGGAAACTTGAAAAGTTCTCTTTAGCTTTGAAGTATCCAGAATCGAAGAATGGTCACCTTGGCAAATTATCACTATAGGAACTTTTGCTTCCATGCACATTGATTTCAAAGAAGCCCAAAATGAAGACTCGTCGGAAGAACAAACATCAGCCTTTAAAAACCATAAAATAATAAAAAATCTATGACAATATACGTTTAATAGAAACTCCAACAAACAATAAGAAATTTTAATTATACATAATAAACGAATAAGAAAGTAAAAGCAATAGTTACTGACAGGCGCTTGTAACTTCATTATGCATTTCAAATCTTTAAAAAATACTAGTTTTTTTAAAGAGAAGATCAAATTACTCACATCGTCGATCAAAATCACATTGTGTTTTGAACCTAATTCCTCTGCCATCAAATCTTTAGTTTTTGCAAACATTCTTCGGATATCAGAGGAAGATACACCAAACTAAAATATCATCATGCTTTCTTCAGTGAAAAAAATGCACGTCAGTCACCATCCGGTAAGGTAAAAAAACATATCTGCTTTAAATGTAGAAGAGATGAGGCAGTCACCAAAGTGGAAGACCCGTTAAAAAGCTAAAATGACTACTCAAAAATGATTAGGGGAGAGGGGGGAAGACCTGATATCAAAGCTCAATAAAATCTTTCAGAACTATTTACCGGCACTTGTTAGATATAATAAAACCAATACCCTATGATTATCTAAAGCGCCATCAAGCATAGTCCTCAAACTAGAACCGGTTCGCCTTTCATTGGTAGACGATACGACAACAGCCATGTTCAGCTCCGCAGCCACTGCTTCAACCTAAACGAAATCAAGTCAAGAAAGAAAAAGGTGAATCAAATCCAGCAGAACAAAAATAACTATTGAAAAAATGAGCTTTTTTTTTGTACCATTGCCGTTTTCCCACAACCAGCCGGCCCACAAACAACCATAGTATTGCAAAGGTATCCATCGTAATCAAAATCCACTTCTTCGTCGGATTCTGATAGCTTACGCTTCGTATGCTTTTTACTGAACTTTTTTTCTGCAAGA